AGAGGTACTAAAATCATTTGAAAAGCTCATTTTGTTAATGGTTTGCATTTTTATGACATCCTATTAGGTTTGGAAATATTTAAGGACCTACAATAAGACACTGTAAGAAGCTTGTAACTCATACAAGGGGAAAAATGGGCAAATAGGAAAGCTAATGAATGAATACTTACATAGGAGCTCATGACATGAGAGGAGACAGGTTTTCAATTACAAAATGACTATAAGGAGGAAATAAAGATCAGATTGGTTAGGGAGAGAGAATATGAGTCTCTTAGATATTGGAAATCCAAGTCCAAGCTGGATCTTGGTAAGGCAAGAAGCATGAGGATAGATGCTCCAGATGAATTACAGAATCAATGGGCAACAGCAAATAACCCTCTACTGGCATTTAATTTAATCCCCAAAACTACCCAATAAGGCAGAGGGTTTTTTTTTCCCAACTCAAATGTACTTGATATTTAACATTATAACAGTTTCAGGTGTACAAAGAAATAATTCCACATGTGTATTACAAAATGATCATCACAATGTCTAGTTAACATCTGTCACCACAAATAGTTACAATTTTTTTTTCTGATGAGAACTTTTATTACCTACTCTCTCAGCAACTTACAAATACACAATATTATTGACAACAGTCACCATGCTGTACATTACATCCCCATAGTTTATTTAATGTGTCTTTTGTGCCTTTTGATCACCTTTATCCATTTCACTCAACCCCCGATCCCTGGCTGCTGTCAACCACCATCTGTTGTTCTCTTATATCTGTTCAGTTTTTGGGTGAGTTGCTTTGTTTTTAGACTCCACACATATTAGTCAGGTCATACACTGTCTTTCTCTGACTTCTTTAATTTAGCACAATGCCCTCAAGGTCCATCACGTTGTCTCAAAGGTAGGATTTCCTTTTCTATGACTGAATAATATTCCATTGCAAATGTGTACACATCTTCTTAATCCATTCATCCATTGGTGGACACAAGTTGTTCCCATGTCTTATCTATTATAAATGCAGGCACATCTCGGAGATAGGGCAGGTTTGGGTTCAGACCACCATTCAATAAAGCAACTCAAATGGTTTTTTGGTTTCCCATGGCATATAAAGTTATATTTATACTACACGGTAGATTAACTGTGCCATAACATTCTTTATTTTTTTTTCATAACATTATTTCTAAAAGATAATGTACGTACCTTTATTAAAAAATACATTTTTGCTAAAAAATGCTAACCATCATATGAACTTTCACCAAGTACTCTTTTTGCTGGTGGAGGGTCTTGCCTTGATGTTGATGGCTGCTCACTCATCAGGGTGGTGGCTGCTGAAGCTGAAGTGGCTGGGCAATTTCTTAAAATAAGACAACAATTAAGTTTGCTGCATTGACTGACTCTTCTTTTCATAATTTTACTGATGCATTTGGTGCTGTCTGACAGCATTTTACCCACATTAGAACTAGTCTCAAAACTGGAGTCAGTCCTCTCAAACCCTACCACTGCTTCATCAACTAAGTTTATGCAATATTTTAAATCCTTCTTGTCATTTCAATAGTCTTCACAGTATCTCAACCAGGAGTAGATTCCATCTAAAGGAACCATTTTCTTTGCTCATCCTTAAGAAGCAACCGCTCATCCATTCAAATTTTACTACAAGATTACAGAAATTTGATCACATCTTCAGGCTCACTTCTAATTCTAGTTCTTTTGCTACTTTGACCACATCTGCAGTTACTTCTACTGAAGTCTTGAACCTTCAATTTGTAAAAAATGCAGTATCTATGAAGCACAATAAAGTGAAATGCAATCAAATGAGGTATGGCTTGTGTTGCTGCAATGAACATGGGGTGCAGGCATCTTTTAGAGTAAGCATCTTATTTTCCTTCAGATAAATACTATGAAGTGGAAATGCTGGATCCAATATGGTAGTTCTTTTTTTGATTTTTTGAGGAACTTCCATAGTATTTTCCATGGTGGCTATGCCAATTTACATTCCCACAAATAGTGCACAGGATTCCCTTTCCTCAACATTCTAACCAATATTTGTTATTTCCAAGTTAATTCTTGGATATGGTGTTAAGATAGTGGGTTTTTGGCATATAGCTGTCCAGTTTTCCCAGGACCATTCCCTGTTGTTCATTCTTGGCTACTTTGTCATAAATTAATTGCCAATGTATGCATGGATTTAATTCTTGGCTCTCTATTCTGTTCCACTGAACTAACTGTCTGTTTTTATGCTAATACCATACTGTTTTGATTACCATACCTTTGTCATATAGTTTGAAACCAGGAAGCATGATGCCCCCAGCTTTATTCTTCTTTCTCAGTATTGCTTTGGCTATTCAGAGTCTTCTGTGGCTCCATACAAATTTTAGGATTATTCATTCTATTTCTGTGAAAAATGCCATTGGAATTTTGATAGGGATTGCATTGACTCTATACATTGCTTTGTGTAGTACAGACATCTTAACATTAGCTCTTCCAATCTCTTGAGTATAGAATATGTTTCCATTTATTTGTGTCTTTGATTTCTTTCATCAAATCGTCAAGTTCTGAGTGTACAGTTATTTCACCACTTTGGTTAAATTTATTCCTGGGTATTCTCTTTGATGAATTGTAAAGAGAGTTTTTAAAAAGTTTCTCTTTCTGACAGTTATTAGTATATAGAAATAAAAAGGTTTTTATATATTGATTTTATATCCTGCAATTTTACTGTATTTGTTTATTATTCTAACAGGTTTTTCTGGTGGAGTCTTTAGAGTTTTCTCTATATATCATGTCATCTGCAAATAGCACCAGTTTTATTTCTTTTCTGATTTGGATGCTGTCCCCACCCAGTTGCTGAGGCCAGGATTTCCAACAGTGGCAAAAGTGAGCTTCCCTGTCTTGCTACTGGTCTTAGAGGAAGAGCTTTCAGCTATTCACCATTGAGTATGATGTTAGTTGAGGGCCTCTCATATATGACCTTTCCTATACTGAGGTACACAGATATTGAATTTTGCCAATTGCTCTTTTAGCATTTATTGAGATGATCTTATGATTTTCATCCCTGATTTTGTTAATGTGGTGTTTGATTTGCAGATGCTGAACCTTGCATCCCTTGAACAAATCCAATTTGATCATGGTGGATAATCCTTTTAATGTTTTTTTTAAATTTCTAAACTGAGGCATTTAGAGGTCAAAGCCCTCATTCAAGGATAAAATAATGGCCAAAGGAGCTTGTTTTATAAGCATGGCTCTTCTTGGGAAGTCTAATAACAAAGAGAAGAATATTTATGCTTTGAGAAATAGGCAGTACATTAAACTAGCCTGATGGTAAATGCCACTTCTATACATAATTTATTCTTTTAATGTATTCTTCAGTTCAGTTTGCTACTGTTTTGTTGAGGATTTTTACATCCATGTTAATCAGGGATATTTGGCCTGTAATTTTCTCTTCTTGTAGTATCCTTGTATGGTTTTAGTATCAGGGTAATGTTAGCTTCATAAAATAACTTTGTGAGTGTTCCCTCCTATGTTTTGGAAGAGACTTTTGAAAAGGATTGGTATTGATTCTTCTTAAAATGTTTGGTAGAATTCACCAATGAAGCCATCTGGCCCTGAATTTTAGTTTTTTGGCTAGTTTTCTTATGAAATTGTCTTACTAGTGATCAGTCTGTTTAGATTTTCTGTTTCTTCAAAATTCAGTCTTGCTAGGTTATATGTTTCTAAGAATTATATCTATTTCTTATATGTTGTCCAATTTGTTAGTGTATAATTATTCAGGGTAGTCACTGGTGATCCTTTGTATTTCTGTGTTATCAATTGTAACTTCTCATTCATTTCTAATTTTATTTACTTGAGTCCCGTTTTTCATGGTGAGTCTAGCTTAAAGGTTTGCCAATTTGATCTTTTTTTAAAAGAGCCCTTAGTTTCACTGATCTTTTCTTTTGTCTTTTTAGTCTCTATTTCATTTATTTCTACCTGATATTTATTTCCCTCCTTCTACCAACTTTGGGCTTCATTTGTTCATGGAGGTGTAAAGCTAGGTTATTTGAGATCTTTCTATTTCTTGATGTAAGCAGTTATTGCTATCAATTTCCCTCTTAGAAGTGCTTTTGCAGCATCCCATAAACTTTGGTATGTTCCATTTCCATTTTCATTTTCCTCAAGATATTCTGTGGTTTCTCTTTTGATTTCCTTCTTTGCTCAGTTGGTTACTCAGTAGCATGTTGTTTCATCTCCACATATTTGTGAATTTTCCAGTTTTCTATAGTAATTGAGTTTTATTTTAAAGTCATTGTGGTCAGAAAAGATGCTTGATATGATTTCAGTCTTATTTTTGAGACTTGTTCTGTGGTCTAACATATGATGTATCCTGGGGAATGTTCCATGTCCATTTGAGAAAAATGTGAATTCTACTGCTTTTGGATGGAATGTTCTGTTATGTCTGTTAAACCCATCTGGTCTAACATGTTGATAAGGCCACTATTTCCTTATTGATATTCTGTCTGGATGATCTATCCATTGATGAAAGTGGGGTATTAAAGTCTGCCACTATTATTGTATTGCTGTCTATCTCTCCCTTTAAGTCTGTTAATATTTACTTTGTGCATCCAACCTAAGAGCACCTAAATAAATACTTACAAATGTTACATCCTTTTGTATCAGATCGACCCCTCTATCATTACATAATGATCTTCTCTATCTTTTTATTAAGTCTTTGTCTTAAAGTCTATTTTGTCTGATATAAGTATAGAGACCTCAGCTTTCTTTAGGTTTCCATGTGCATGGAATATCTTTGTCCATTCTTCTCACTTTCAGTCTGTGTATGTCGTTACACCTGAGGTGAGTCTCTTGGCAGTAGCATATAGATAGGTCTTGTTTTTTATCCATTTGGTCATTCTGTTTTTTGATTGGAGAGTTAGTTCATTCACACTTAAAAAGTAATTGTGGATAGGTATGCACTTACTGCCATTTGTTAAGTGTTTTCTGGTTGTTTTGTAATTCCTTTGTTCTTTTTTTTTTTAAATATGGAACACTTCACGAATTTGCATATCATCTTTGTGCAGGGGCCATGCTAATCTCTGTATTGCTCCAATTTTTTAGTATATGTGCGGCCAAAGTGAGCATCCTTTGTTCTTTTGTTCTCTTCCTTTGTGATTTGATGATTTTTTTTGTAGTGGTATGTTTGGATTTCTTTCTTGTTATCTTTACTGTATCTACCACAAGTTTTTGCTTTGTGATTACCTTGAGGCTTCCATAAACAACTTACAGTTCTACATTTTTACTCCATCACATTTTGTTTTTGAGGTCACTGTTACATCATTCTGTCTTGTGTCTACCCTTAATAAACTTTATAGTTATTTTTACTACATTTTTCTTTTAGTCTTCAAACTAGCTTTATAAGTAATGAAATTACCTCCTTTAACAATATTAGATTATTGTGAATATTACTATATATTTACCTTTACCAATGAGATTTATACTTTCATTTTTTCTTGTTACTAATAAGCACCCTTTCTTTTCAGCTTAAAGTAGCTCCTTTATCACTTCTTGTAAGGCCTATCTAATGATGACGACTTCCTCTAGCTTTTGCTAGTCTAAAAAGATCTTTATCTCTCCTTCACTTCTGAAGGACAATTTTCATAGGTATTCTTGAATGGCAGGGGTTTTTTTTCTTTCAGAACTTTGAATATATCATCCCACTCCCTTCTAGTCTGCAGTTTCTGCTGAAATGTCTGGTAAATAGTCTTATAGGGGTTCCCTTCTATGGAACCACTTGTTTTTCTCTTGCTTCTTTTAAGATTTACTCCATCTTTTGACACTTTAATTATCATGTTTCTTGGTATAGGACTTATCTTACTTGGAATCTCTGGGCTTTCTGGATCTGGACGTCTGTGTCCTTCCCTAGGTTGGGAAAGTTTTCAGCTCGTTTTTTGTCTTCCTCTAGGACCCTTATATTGCAAATGCTGGTCTATCTGAGACTGTCATGTAAGTTATCTTCACTCTTTTTCATTTTCTCTTTTTGCTGCTCTGATTGTATTAGTTCCCCTATCCTGTTTTCAAGTTCACAGATCCTTTCTTTCACTTTATATAACTTGCTGTTGAACTTCTTCTATTGTATTTTTCAGTTCTTTTATTCCTCATAGCTGTGAATTCTATCTGGTACTTTCTTATATTTTCTCATTATTGAACTTCTATGTTCATTCAGTGTTCTCTTGAGTTCAGTGAGCATCTTTATGACTGTTATATGTTGAACTCTTTACGAGGTAAATCACATATCTCTTTTTCACTGAGTCATTTTTCTGAGGTTTTTATCTTGTCCTTTCATTTGGAACATATTTCTCTTTTTCTTCATTTTCCTTGAATCTCTGTGTTGGTTTCTATGCATTTGATAAAACAGCCACCTGTCTCAGTCTTGAAGGAGTAGCATTGTTTAGGAGATGAACCTTATCATTCAACCCTCCCCCAGCTCTTGGCTGTCTCTCAAACCTTTGTGATTGTCCAAGTAACCTATTTTATTTCTAGTGACTTCCAATAGTTGAGCATGTGTCAAGACCTGTCAGTGTCCCAAAGGGGAGGATCTCAGTCAACACCTAGAGTCAGGCTGACTAGAAGTCAGATCCTCAGGCAACAGCTTTAGAAGTATACAAATACACCTCTTTTAGGGGTAGATTGGGAGATGGTTGTCTGCTCCCTCTGTATGGAGAGCTGGAGTGATAACAGTTAAGAATTGCTTCTTTTTTGCTATCATCCTGCTGACCCTGTGAACACAAGCCCTGCTGGGCACCAGAGACAGGCTATCAAGGGATATGTCCTCTAAGTGGCAGCCACAAAAGCCAGAATGTCAGATGTGTATACAAGCTTCCTCAGAGACACCAGAGTCAGGGGCAGAGGGAAAGCACAAAGATGGTACCCACTGGCCCCCCAGTCTCTGAAGAATATTGTAGTCAGGTACTAAATGTGTGTTTAATTAGAAGCCTACCCCTCAGGCCACAGCTATGAAGGTAAGTTAATGAGTTTTTCACTAAAAAACTGGGTGCTTTTCAGTCAGCCAGTTCCATGGTGGGCCTGGGGCATAGCCAGGTGAGTCTACACAAGCCCTTTAAGAACTGTTTCTCAGTTCACAATAGCCTGTGAGTCTTGTGGATGCAAGTCCTATTGGCTTTTAAAGACAGATGTTTTGGAGGACTCACCTCTCAGGTGTAGATGTTAAAATAGGGGTGTTGGATGTGGGGTTCAAACTCCTCAGGGAAAAGCCTGGAGCTGTCAGACCCCACCTAATTGTGGGTTGTCATGCCAGTGATAGGATTTATGGCAAGATTGTGGTTCTGCTTCTCCTGTTTCAATGCTGTCTTTTTTTCCCCATTTGCCTAATGTGCAAGCAGTCAATCAACTAGTTTGGGGGTTTCTTATGAGAAAACTGTTCTGTTCATAGCTGTAGATTTGGTGTGTCCATGGGGATAGGTGAGTTCAGGATCCTCCTATACTATCACCTTGAATGTGAACTCAAGCAGTACTACTTTTACTGCTACTTTACAGTTAAGGAAATTGAAGGCTAAATACAATGATTCCACTAAAAGCATAGTAGGAAACATGAGATTTTTGTATTTTGAGTAAAACTATGATTTAATAACCAATTTTCTAAAAAGATTCAAAGAGATGATTCCTATACTAAATTGAGAGGAATTACATAATCTCTAAATTTATGTTAATTCTAAAATCCTTTGCTTTAGGGAATCATTTCCTTAACAGCTAAAAACGAATCCTAGTGAAAAAAAAAACCCTTATTCAGTTTGCACTCTGTAGTATCATAGACCCTACTGCAGAAAGAAGCTCTAAAACCTGGACCTAAGGAAAAAGGCATCAGCTGATGGTACTGGGGAGCAGGCACAGGCAGCCATGCCCTGATGGGGAGCTTGTGCTCACTCACAGGAGGGGAGATGGAAAGCTCAAAGCATGTGTTCCCCTCTCCAGATACTTTCCTGAGTTGCAAAGTGGTAATTTATGGTGGTTTTGATTTTCATTTCTCTGAAGACTGGTGCTTTTGATGATCTTTTCATGGGCTTGTTGGCCATTCATATATCTTATTTTGTGAAATGTATGTTCATATCTCCCATTTTATATGAGTTATTTAATTTTGAGTCGTAAGAATTCCTTACATGTTCTGAACAGACGCCCTTTGTCTGATAGGTATTTGGCATTTTTTTTCTCAGTCTGTGACTAGATTTTTTACTCTTTTACCTATCTTTCAAAAAGCAAAATTTTCACTTTTATGAAGTTTTTCTTGTGACTTAACTCTGGAGCCAGACACCTGGTTTCAAAATTTATTTCTACCCCACAATATCTATGCACAACAAGGCAAAGTACTTAATATTCTTGAACTCCATATTCCTTAACAATTGGGTTATCTTATGATATGAAGCTGTGATATTTTAATTATATATATATATAAAGTCCCTTATATGTTATTTAGCACATAGTGGCATGTAACAAATAGAAACCCTTCACCTTTCCTTCCCCTGAACTTTTACTCAAATTGAATGATGCACCTTTTTTTTGATATCTAAATCTAAGACAGACCAAGATACAGGGGTACAAACCATTCATCTAAGAGAAAAGCTTTAAAGCTAACTTTTAGTAGATAGTTTGCTATAGCATGACCCACACATGCTCATCTATAGCTTTCTGGTTTATACTGTTTTGTAATAAAAGCTCCTAAATAATGTGGAGCAGTCCAGCCTGTTAAAACAGTATATATGATATTAGAAGAGAACATTTAATGGTTCCTAGATCCTGCTAAATGTGTTTGGCTCTAAAGTTAGAATATGAGATATTCTATATTTAGATTTGAGTCAAACTGACACCTACCTGGAGAATGCAGATTTTAAATACGCTACTATATTAAATGTAGACAGAATTTATGAACTTTGGCTTTATGTGGTAATGAGACCACTTTTCTTAAATTCAAAATTCATTCTTCATATGCAGACAAGATAATTTTAATTTGCCAAATGACTTCTAACTTGCTTTTTAGAAACCATATAGTCTGGTCATTATATAATCAATATGAAGTTATTCAAGTGAAGGTAGGGAGGATTTATGGAAGATGCCCATCCAGCTGGGAGCTAGTGAGGGATGGAGCCCCGTGGTTGTACCAGTCTGGAGTGGAGTTTCTGTTGGCTGAAATGGGACATAGAATGAAAGGGGTGTGTTTTTACTTCAAATATTACAGATTCTCACTGTTCTTAACACATTTTGGTAAATTTTCTTGAATAAATGTTTCTTCATTTGCTGTAGGTCCTTGGGACCATTTCCAGAGACTTTAAACAACGGTTATTTTGGAACTTTCACCAGTTTTAATGGAGAGTGGTCTACAGAGCTTCTTAAATTATCATCTTAAAAGTGCCTCTCTAGTTATTTTTTATGCCCAAAATGTTTTCTTGGGTTATACTTTTAAATACTACTGTTATAATATTTAAGTCACATTGTTTTGATTGTCTAATTTAGGGGCTCCAATTATATATATATGTTGGACCTCCTCTGACTATCTTCCATTTCAACTACTTTCTCTCTGACAATTTTTTTCTGTTTTCTCATTTTCATTCTCTGTTTTCCTAGTTTCATGTAATGTTCTTTTATTTAATGTTTGTTTTACTCTTCTTCCTCTTTAGCACCTCATAATGTAGTCTTCGCTCCTGATAGGGCTTTTCCTTTTTGTTCTATTTTTATTCTTGAACTCAGTTACTGACTCCCATTACATGTCTTCTTGTTTTCTTGTCCATTGCTGCTCTTAGTATGTCTCAAAGCGGTTTTCCCTCAGATCCCCCAAATGCTAATTGATATTTCATTTACAGTGTTGTTACAATATGGGTTTTTGGGGTTTTTTTTTTCAGTTTTGTGCTGTACTTAAGAGGCTTCTTTGTGTGTGTGTGGGGGCGGTTATTGGGTAGGGGGATGTTATTTCTTGCTGATTCCAGGAGGATTGGTAATTTCTTTAATTTCTTTGTTTTCCTTTACTGCTACACTGCTAAGAGGACCCAACCCTTCTTTATGTATCTGATTCTTCCTCAGAAGCAGTGGGCTCTGAGGCTGCCACTTCAGGTCCCACTATCTTTCTAATTTCTTCTTATATCTTGAGCTATATGCTACTATGTCCTTTGTTCAGTATTTTAGCATTTAGCATTACATGTTTTCTTTGTTAAGATGCTTTTATTTGTAATTCTAAGTTGTCTTAAAGTATGTTCCTCTAAAAGCCCTCTCTCCCCACTCTTAGCACCCACATGATTCCAGTAACAGGAAGATAGAAGGAAGTCCTTTGGGATTTACTTCTCTACCTAAGGCATTTAGAAGGTTATGTTATTGTCTCTCAGTCATGCTGGAGATATGAGTGAATGAGTGGTTTCATTTCCTCTGATTGCTGATGACTATTTTTAAGACTGAGGAAAATCAGGCAGCTGCCATTGTCCTGCAAAAACTTTTGCAAGAAGGCTTCTCATTATGGATTCAATCTATTGGACACAAGACTGTTTTAATTTTTTCATTTTCACTGACAGATTCGGTCAGATGTCACATTATTATTAATATCCTGATACTATATTTTATGTAGAGTCAAAAACAGTAGTCATAACATCTTCATACCTGCTTCTCTTTTCTTTCTTAGTCTTTCTAGGGATGTGGCAGTTTTTAAAATACTGACAAAATCTTTGATGTATCTCCCACTAAGAGCTGAAGGCTGTGGTCTCCCCTAGCATCTTTGAGAACAGTGACTGATATAAGCAGTAATATACTATGGATGTGATGCTATATGAATTCTGGGGCCAGATCTTAAAATGCCTTGCAGCTTTATGTTGGTTCTACGGGGATGTCTGCTCTAGGGCCATTTGCACATATGAAATCTGACTGTTCCAAGACCACAGTACTGGAAAAGTGGCAAAGAGTAAGACAAAACTGTAAGAATGAAGACAACTGAAACATACTTAGGAGCTCAACCACAAAACATCCTTACTAGCCTAGGCTGAGGACCATGCATGCCCATTGCCCTTGCAATTCCTAAACCATTTCCATACACTGACAGAGGCATGGTTAGGAGGCCAGAGAATTCCAATAAGAAATGTTACACCTGCTGGCATAACAAACAAGGCTATCAGGGAACACAGTGAGTGCTTCATAACCCAAAAATCTGCAACTGGTCTGAACAGTCTGTTCCTTGCCCCTATTTCACATTAAGGAATGGGCAAGAGTAGAAATTAAGTTTTAACATGCAATGCTGAAATAGCCCTACTTATCCACCACACAGTTGAACATGTTGCACTCCTAACTATGGAAAGTAAACATTTCTAGGAATTTTAATATTATTGCATACAATAACGGTACAATAAAAGGACTTTAAAAAAAAAAGAAAAGAAAAGCTAGGAATTAGGATAGTTCAGAAAATACCAGCAACTAGTATAAGACTTGGAACCAGTGAGTACTCAATTACTATTCATTACATAAATCGGTTCATTTCAAGTACCCTAAAAACACGACGAGTTTCTGGCCTAAATTACCATAAGCATGACATAATTCACATCCTTCAAAGTGTTGGCCCTTCTGGAGCCATAGATACTTCTTTGAGAACAGTTTATTCTATCTTCTAACATAAAGAAAGATCTTATATCTTTCAAAAAGATAAAACAAGCTGTTGGGATCCAGAAAGAAAAAATTGTGATCTTTAAGCTAGTGAGTTAAAAAGGGGAATGGCTTTAATGGTTAAACAGAGTTTAGTAAGTTATTCTGTAGTTTTGGTGGGGTACATCAAAATGAATGGACAACCTAATTTGTGATTAACCTACCAAATCCAGGAACACTTTTGAGGCTCGCCTTGAGGCAAATTTTCTCCAATCTGAGGTAACTATATCTCATCAGACAATTCCACAGGAACATCCAGTCCATTCTTGTCCGATGATTCATGATAATGACACTTCTTTCTCCAGGAACAAATGCATCACCTGTTATAATCACTTTTACACCAAACATGGTCTCCAACAAGGCCTAAGGAAAAAAACAATAGAGATGTGTAATAACAATTTAAAATTCTGATTTCAGTAAGTCAAAAGCATAGTACTTCCTATGATTCTTGCTTCTATAATAAATCCAGAAAAAGAAGTTATTCCGGAAGAATGAAGATATAGAAGGCACTGTTTCTAATTTTAACTCTACTAATTTAAGTTTCTGGAGTTTCCTCCTTGAAAATTTCAATGCAAGTCGGTATTTTTTTTTAAGATTTATTATTTTGGTATATAAGATCATTACTTTAACACTGGGTATAGGACTGAGGGCACAAACTGTTTTATATCTTTACTATGATCTTTTTTTTTGAACAGATACATGTATATGTTTATGTTAACAACACATAAACAATAAAATTAACTATGTTTATTAAAAGTGCTACAGCCCTAGCACCTACAACAGTGCCTGGCACAAACTGCAAATAATTTACATGTAACAAATTTACTAGTTAATATTTGACTTCACTATTAATGAAGAGAAAACTGGTCCAAGGCAAAAGATAAGACAAAAGATAAGAAAATCAAAACCTCTCTTTAGCAGTATCATAAAAACCTTGATCAAAGGGCAGCAAATAAACAAACCAAGGTATAGTCACACAGTGGAACATGGTACAGCAATGAAAATACAATGAACTACAGTATCAACAGCAACATGGATGACACATAAGCATAATGAAACAAAAGCAAATAATATATACAAAAAAAGTCCATATGTACCACTTTCTAAAATAGGCAATAACTAAAATATTTTGGAAGTAAGTATATAGGTGGTAAAATTACAAAGAATAGAAGGAAGTAACTATCTTACAAGTCAGGTTAATGGTTATTTCTACCAAATAGGGCAAGGTTGTAACTGGGAACCCAGCAGGCTGGTGAGGTTCCATTTTTGATCTGATGGATAGTTAAACTTTAAAGTTATCTATTAAAGCATGCATTTATGTTTTACTACCTTACAGTATGCTCTTCTTTGTTCTTAAAAAATTTTTTTTAAAGAATATGGTTAAAAAGAGCAATAGCACATCAAAATGTAAGAATAAATAGGACCAAGATAAAATAGTTTATGAGTATTAGCTGAAGAAAAAAATTTAGGAATGTTATGTGTCTACTGTTAGGGTGTTTAGATCTTAACACAGTAAAACATGATCATCTGGGCTAATGAGGGGGCGGTTATTGGGTAGGGGGATGTTATTTCTTGCTGATTCCAGGAGGATTGGTAATTTCTTTAATTTCTTTGTTTTCCTTTACTGCTACACTGCTAAGAGGACCCAACCCTTCTTTATGTATCTGATTCTTCCTCAGAAGCAGTGGGCTCTGAGGCTGCCACTTCAGGTCCCACTATCTTTCTAATTTCTTCTTATATCTTGAGCTATATGCTACTATGTCCTTTGTTCAGTATTTTAGCATTTAGCATTACATGTTTTCTTTGTTAAGATGCTTTTATTTGTAATTCTAAGTTGTCTTAAAGTATGTTCCTCTAAAAGCCCTCTCTCCCCACTCTTAGCACCCACATGATTCCAGTAACAGGAAGATAGAAGGAAGTCCTTTGGGATTTACTTCTCTACCTAAGGCATTTAGAAGGTTATGTTATTGTCTCTCAGTCATGCTGGAGATATGAGTGAATGAGTGGTTTCATTTCCTATGATTGCTGATGACTATTTTTAAGACTGAGGAAAATCAGGCAGCTGCCATTGTCCTGCAAAAACTTTTGCAAGAAGGCTTCTGATTATGGATTCAATCTATTGGACACAAGACTGTTTCAATTTTTTCATTTTCACTGACAGATTCGGTCAGATGTCACATTATTATTAATATCCTGATACTATATTTTAGGTAGAGTCAAAAACAGTAGTCATAACATCTTCATACCTGCTTCTCTTTTCTTTCTTAGTCTTTCTAGGGATGTGGCAGTTTTTAAAATACTGACAAAATCTTTGATGTATCTCCCACTAAGAGCTGAAGGCTGTGGTCTCCCCTAGCATCTTTGAGAACAGTGACTGATATAAGCAGTAATGTACTATGGATGTGATGCTATATGAATTCTGGGGCCAGATCTTAAAATGCCTTGCAGCTTTATGTTGGTTCTACGGGGATGTCTGCTCTAGGGCCATTTGCACATATGAAATCTGACTGTTCCAAGACCACAGTACTGGAAAAGTGGCAAAGAGTAAGACAAAACTGTAAGAATGAAGACAACTGAAACATACTTAGGAGCTCAACCACAAAACATCCTTACTAGCCTAGGCTGAGGACCATGCATGCCCATTGCCCTTGCAATTCCTAAACCATTTCCATACACTGACAGAGGCATGGTTAGGAGGCCAGAGAATTCCAATAAGAAATGTTACACCTGCTGGCATAACAAACAAGGCTATCAGGGAACACAGTGAGTGCTTCATAACCCAAAAATCTGCAACTGGTCTGAACAGTCTGTTCCTTGCCCCTATTTCACATTAAGGAATGGGCAAGAGTAGAAATTAAGTTTTAACATGCAATGCTGAAATAGCCCTACTTATCCACCACACAGTTGAACATGTTGCACTCCTAACTATGGAAAGTAAACATTTCTAGGAATTTTAATATTATTGCATACAATAACGGTACAATAAAAGGACTTTAAAAAAAAAAGAAAAGAAAAGCTAGGAATTAGGATAGTTCAGAAAATACCAGCAACTAGTATAAGACTTGGAACCAGTGAGTACTCAATTACTATTCATTACATAAATCGGTTCATTTCAAGTACCCTAAAAACACGACGAGTTTCTGGCCTAAATTACCATAAGCATGACATAATTCACATCCTTCAAAGTGTTGGCCCTTCTGGAGCCATAGATACTTCTTTGAGAACAGTTTATTCTATCTTCTAACATAAAGAAAGATCTTATATCTTTCAAAAAGATAAAACAAGCTGTTGGGATCCAGAAAGAAAAAATTGTGATCTTTAAGCTAGTGAGTTAAAAAGGGGAATGGCTTTAACGGTTAAGTAGAGTTTAGTAAGTTATTCTGTAGTTTTGGTGGGGTACATCAAAATGAATGGACAACCTAATTTGTGATTAACCTACCAAATCCAGGAACACTTTTGAGGCTCGCCTTGAGGCAAATTTTCTCCAATCTGAGGTAACTATATCTCATCAGACAATTCCACAGGAACATCCAGTCCATTCTTGTCCGATGATTCATGATAATGACACTTCTTTCTCCAGGAACAAATGCATCACCTGTTATAATCACTTTTACACCAAACATGGTCTCCAACAAGGCCTAAGGAAAAAAACAATAGAGATGTGTAATAACAATTTAAAATTCTGATTTCAGTAAGTCAAAAGCATAGTACTTCCTATGATTCTTGCTTCTATAATAAATCAAGAAAAAGAAGTTATTCCGGAAGAATGAAGATATAGAAGGCACTGTTTCTAATTTTAACTCTACTAATTTAAGTTTCTGGAGTTTCCTCCTTGAAAATTTCAATGCAAGTCGGTATTTTTTTTTAAGATTTATTATTTTGGTATATAAGATCATTACTTTAACACTGGGTATAGGACTGAGGGCACAAACTGTTTTATATCTTTAATATGATCTTTTTTTTTGAACAGATACATGTATATGTTTATGTTAACAACACATAAACAATAAAATTAACTATGTTTATTTAAAGTGCTACAGCCCTAGCACCTACAACAGTGCCTGGCACAAACTGCAAATAATTTACATGTAACAAATTTACTAGTTAATATTTGACTTCACTATTAATGAAGAGAAAACTGGTCCAAGGCAAAAGATAAGACAAAAGATAAGAAAATCAAAACCTCTCTTTAGCAGTATCATAAAAACCTTGATCAAAGGGTAGCAAATAAACAAACCAAGGTATAGTCACACAGTGGAACATGGTACAGCAATGAAAATACAATGAACTACAGTATCAACAGCAACATGGATGACACATAAGCATAATGAAACAAAAGCAAATAATATATACAAAAAAAGTCCATATGTACCACTTTCTAAAATAGGCAATAACTAAAATATTTTGGAAGTAAGTATATAGGTGGTAAAATTACAAAGAATAGAAGGAAGTAACTATCTTACAAGTCAGGTTAATGGTTATTTCTACCAAATAGGGCAAGGTTGTAACTGGGAACCCAGCAGGCTGGTGAGGTTCCATTTTTGATCTGATGGATAGTTAAACTTTAAAGTTATCTATTAAAGCATGCATTTATGTTTTACTACCTTACAGTATGCTCCTTTGTTCTTAAAAATTTTTTTTTAAAGAATATGGTTAAAAAGAGCAATAGCACATCAAAATGTAAGAATAAATAGGACCAAGATAAAATAGTTTATGAGTATTAGCTGAAGAAAAAAATTTAGGAATGTTATGTGTCTACTGTTAGGGTGTTTAGATCTTAACACAGTAAAACATGATCATCTGGGCTAATGTAAATACAGATATCCCATAGGTCCCCATTATGTTATTTTCCCAGGGCTAAGAGTCACTTGAGGGAGTGGGTATTTAACCTGACATCTATCAAGCCCTCAGAAAAATGGCCTTCAAGGTCAATGAACAAGGATCCCTTTTGAAATTAGATGTGTGAGTGAGTGTGTACACAGGTACTTTGCTGGGCAAAATGCCTGGAGTTTTCTTCAGATTTTCAAAAGGGTCCATAACAACTCCAGTAATTGTAACCCTTACCTTGACCAAGTCCCTGGGAAGCTAAGTCCCGATGAAAAAGACCTCATGATGGAGAGGGTCATGGCAGAGTCCTCTAGGATTGGACCCACAGCAAGAACTGTTTTCTTCTACTTATAAGTGTAAAGAGCTATCAACTCCCAAAATGAGCTTCATGAATTACATGTCTTGGCCCAGAGGATATGTGTGAAGTCACAATTTACAGTTTATTAATTTGGATCGGCTTCACTATGCTTTCCAAATACGATATACTTTTATAGTTTTTGCAGAGGGTTCAAAAGCAGGATAACCTTTCCAACTGGTAGAAAGAGGAAATTTACTACGGTATATTATACTACAGAAAGCTTTTAAGTCCCAAACCTCATCTCTAAGCTTTTACATGCAATTTCTCATACTTGTTTCTATGAATCCCCAAAACAACCTTCTTTTTTCATTGTGGAAAGTGTCAAAATAAAAACCCCAGACAGTTTGTCCAGGAGCACATCATATGGCATTCTCTCCCTTGCTAACCAGCACTCTATCAGAATGTGTCTGAAAGTTATATATAATCTTTTGGACAGCCGAGATCTCAAGCTCATATTATTCATTTTTAATACCAAACAAGACATATCCAGTCAATGTTATGAACAGCACTCACAAAGATATAATAACAAATACACTACACAGAGACAAAGTTATAATGTCTATAAAGAACTCCAAATAATAGATTAAAACTATAAAATAAAAAGACACTATTCTCATATTTCTCATATTTGTCCTATTTCTAGTATAAAAGAAGAAAAGTTTCAGCAGTAAGGAACTAATCTTATAAAATTTTATAATATGTTATTTCTTAAATTTAACTAAGAGCTACTATTGTCATGACTTTTACCAAATTGGTCAAAGACTTCTCCTAGCATTAGAAACACAGAAGAAATACCACCATTTACTACCTCCAATTATGCCACCATGTAGGAAAACACAAAGATGAGAGACTTCCTTCATGATCACAGAGATGAGTTTTACCATCATGCTCCCAGCTCTTATTTACCATTCCAATGGATTTTATTTCGTCTGAGGTAAGAACAATTCTATGATGTTCTTCATCTCCAAGTCTCTACTTTTCAGACTCACCTTAAGCCCAGCTTTCTCAAATCCTTAGCATTTTAAGGTGTTGCAATCAAACACTGAGCACCCCCTTTCTTAAGAGCAGCAGTCCAGACAAAAGTTATATGCAGTAATCTATGCTTGTTGAACATGTTATGTTCTAGGACTGGAATGGAATCAGAAGGCAGTAGAAGAGACTTTTGTGTCCTAGGTGAGAGTTTAGAAAATGATCTCTAAATTCCTTTTTTGTTGAAAGAACTCCAAGTAATTTTCATAAACCCAGTTACTTAGCTAACAATCAGGTTATTGGAAAGAGCAAGAATTTTAAGAAACAAAAACTGCTCTGAACACATGCAAGATGGTATTGATTTCATTCATTTCATTTTTGGACAGCTCTATTCAACATAAACACACATTTCCTGTTACAGAAATATTCCAAGAGAGAATGAATGGTCATTCCAGAGGGTGTACAGACAGGACTCTTGCATACACACGTAGGTTAGACTACATGACTTTGAGGTCTCATCTCTAAGACTCTAAAAGATTTTCCTGTGGTACTTCATTTACTGCAGAAAATGTGCTTGCTAAAAAGAGTAAGACAAAAATCTTGCCAGTGAAATCATTTTAATGCATAGAGAAACTTACAAAAGATCATTCTGTCATTATTTCTATGAAGCAATAGTATAAATGCATTATCCTAATTTATTTTTAGCAAAAAAATTATTTTTAACTGTTTGGGATTACACTTAAAAGGGAGAAAGTCCAAATTCATTCTGAATAAAAAATACAGTATGACAGACTGTATTTTCCAACAATGGCTCCAAAAATATCTCCTACCCCACATGTTTTTTATGCAATTTTAATGTGTTTATAAAAGAAAAGCATACAAAACAAGATTACACTTATAACTAGCACTTTAGACCATAATACCAAGTCACCAATAGTTTTCCATAAAAAGAGCCAGAGCCAAAGAGAAAGTTATTAACTTCTATAATCCAAACCCAGATCTGTGTATAACCAATTATTTAATAATTGAAAACCAATCTACTTTAAAATGTCCACATTCAATGATAAAGCTATGGTACAACTGTAAAGGTTCATCAGGCTCCAAGAGGGTCCAAAAGAAAGGCCCTCAAATACCTTCTAACTCCCACTTACAATTCTCAGGAACAAGGTGAGGAAAAAATATGGAAAACAAGGCTGTGTTTATAGCACATCCTTCCACCTTATCAGATTCCAATTCTATGTGAAAATTCACAACTCTGTAAGTTATAGACAACTGAAAGACATGCAGATTTCATCCTGTCAGGTAGAGGGGTTCAATGGATTTCCCTCACTGCTCCCCAGCTCCTGTCCCCGACAAACCACTTTTGTCTTCATCTGCCATTTCAACATTCCTTGACTCCATACAAATCTGTGGGTCTTTATTTTTTAACTTGAGTCCCTAACTGATTATGAATGAAATAAAATCCTTAACACAGTTTATTGTTGTATCTGTGTAAGTCATTATGTTATCATTTAATACAGCACTGAACTTTCCTACTATTGGCAAGACATTGCCCAGTACTTAGATGTTCAGTACTTAGATTATCAACACAAAAAGATACTCTAAACAGTGAATATGAATCAGACTGGAAAGGTCCATCTCCCCATGTAAATGAATAACAGGCCTTTAGCTTTGAAAATCAATCTCCTGTGAAATGGCATGAATAAAGTCATGAGCACTGGATGAAGCAAGGAAATCTGGTTTCAGAAACTGCCAAGCCCATATTCCGGCTGCGAATAACGGTGAAGCCCATTATCCACAACAAGCTGCTGCCCTCTTATCTACACAATCCATTTAATGACCTCCTTTAAAAAGTTAAAAACTACTAAAGACAATGGACAATGATGGAGCAGAATTCATGACAGAAGACAAATAAAGTGGGAAGTCTTAGCCCTGGAAAGTTTCCCAAAATTATGATCCCTTTGAATGTGTCCCTGTTCATCTACCCATCCATAAAAGAAGGTCAATTTTGTGTCACTGTAGAAAAAATATCAACACAAAACTTTTCATTTAGTTTCATAAAATTATCAAGCATATAATTATGGAGAATTACAAAGGGAAGTAATGAAATGAGAAACATATTGATAACAGACTCAAAGCTGTTCCAGATGCAAGTGAGAAATGGGTGGCTTCCAACACCACCAGGTTCTTCCCCATCTATCTGCTCTCTTTATCCCAGACACTAACTAAAATATAACAGCTCATAATAGATTTCAATTCCTTTTAGTAAGAAGAGACACACTGTGAGGGCTAATTTTGTGTGTCAACCTGACTGGCCAGGGAGTACCCAGATTTAACATTACTTTTGGGTATATCTGTGAGGGTGTTTCTGGGTGAGATTAGCATTTGAATTGGTAGCCTCAGTAAAATAGATTGTCCTCTCCAGTGTGGTTGGGCATCATCCAATCTGTTGAGGGCCTGAATAGAAAAAAAGGAGAGGAAAAAGAATTCACCCTTTTTCCTACCTCACTGAGCTGGGTGAGAGACATTTTACCTTCTCGGCTCTAGGACTAGGATTTCCACCACCAGCTCTCCTAGTTCTCAGGCCTTTGGACTCAGACTGAATTAGACCACACATACACACACACCCTGCCCTTGTTTCAGAACAGTCTCATTTATATACAGTCTCATTAATACATATGTATATATAGGCAAAGCATTTACAAAGAGGAAACACCTGCTCTCCATTGAGTAGTGAGGCCACAGTACACTGTATACAAATATCAACTATATTAACAGACAACAAATCATTACATTACTTTTTAAACTCCAGAGAGGATGGAGAGAAGGCATAATTATTTCAATTATTTAAAACAAAAATACTTTAGAAAACACACAGACCCATTGTTCTTTCTCATCCCTATGACTTAAAAGACTAATTTAAAGCATTAGCTAAACATGGCACAAAAGATTCCATTACAAGATGGGGCAGTGGGGAGGCAGTTACTGGGAAAACTTTTCCAATAGGACTCTTGGTTTTTTCCCAAAAATATTTAGAAAGCTAAAACATCTGAAACAAGTATAAGAGATAAATCATCTGCCTCTGAGCAAAGACATAACTAAGACTTGGTCTGTGAAAAATTTTTGCATAAAAACTAACTGAATGTCATTAAAATACCTATAAAGAAGAAAAGTAATAAGATAGTTTA